TTACATAAAGTATAAAGTATATTTTAGAAAACAAGCAATAGTAATGATTTCAAATTTTAATTTGACATTTTTGGGTTTAATAAACATGGCAAAATGATTTTTAAAACTTGGTTTCATCATGTTACGCATTCAAGCACATCTGAAGAAAGGCATCTCTAACTGCAATACAATATAAATGACAAAATGGTTTTTACTGTGCGTTATCTTCTCCGGGTCTGGGGTTGATAGTTTACTGTTGGCTGTCAAACCCCCTGTCATGCTCTGCCATAGAGGGGGAGTGATTTGCGGGTTGCCTGGTGGGACTGTTTATTGATTACCTCGAAATTACAGGTTTTAAAAGGCTGGCGAAAAAGAGAAGATGTAAGCTGCCCGCTCGCAGCAGTGTCTGCATGCTCACCGGCAGTAATCAGCATCTTCAGCATATTGTGCTAACACTGCACAGGAAAATGTGAATTTCACTGAGAGACAGCTGAGTGCTGGGTAATTTAATTCAGGACTCTCTCTCTCAGCCAGAAGTGTAAAATGAGCCGTATAACCTTCAAAACCACACAACCTTTCATCTGATCATAAAGGATGACTGACAAATAAGAGCAGTTAGCATTTAAGGAAATTACATGTGTCAAATGCGGAAAACCATTCCTGAAAAATGCTAACGCAGAAATCCGATCAGCAAATGACGGCGTCTAAAAACAAAGAGCAAAGAAATCTCAGTTTTGGAAAACTCTTTCCAAAAGTGAAAAAAGTGATTTAAAATCTAATTCAAACTTGGAATGAACAGACAGATTTAGGATTTTGAACAATTTAAAACAAATAAATCCTATGACAGATTTTTTTTTTTAAAGATTGTGCTATATATCTTATCAAATTAAGTTACTTATCAAATAAGCAAATTCCAGACAGATGTTCTTGTTTCCACTGAAGCACAATATGATTTTTGGTTCAATAATAAATCATGCTGCATAACACGATCACCAGGTTTTTACACAAACTATATACTAAGAAATTCATGTACATATTTCAATTCAAAGGCTACTGATGGTATAATTCATGCACAAAAGAGAACGATTTAAATAGGACGCCACTGGATCCCATTTAAAAAAAAACAACTAATTTTTTGCTTCCTGCAGTTGTGCCATGTAATTCTAAACACAAGGTGGCAGGAAAGGACTGTCTTTCCCTTATTCTTAAGCCATCACAGTGCATTATTGTTCTGTAGCTCAAGAGTTCATTCTCAATGACAATCATAAAAGCAATGATTTTGACTAATCCTAACAAAATTTAATATAACAACTTTTCATTTTTCCACATCACCTCCATTCACCTTCCAAAACTGCTTTGAATGTCAACTCCCCTAGTAGTAATATTAAGCAAATAATCAGCCTGGAAAAATGATGCCTGCTTATTAGGATAAAGGAAAACAATGAAGCCCATATATTTCACTTGAATGCAAAAACGTGCATATGTCGAATGCCAAATTTCACAGTTTAAGCTGAGCTCTTACATAAGAACATTCTTTTGTAAAGACAATAAAGTGCCAACATATGCAATAACCAGCACAAAGATTTAAAACTACACAAGCAAATGCTTCAATCCAAACTAAATCTGAAAATAAACTATCAGGCTGTTTTACAGTATACAAAGCGAAATATCCGTCCACCAGTATGCCAGTCCTTCATTTCACAGCACGGCCTCACTTATGGCTTCCATATGAAATAACCAGCACTGGAGAAAGTTTACCCAGCCTTCTGTAAGAATGACTCGGTGCACAGAGAGAGCGAATGTGTCAGAGTGTTGTGTGATGGTGGGATTAGCTCACAGTAAATGTCCTTTTCCTTATGACACGCTATCATGCTCACATTCCTGCAACTCAATTCCAGTTCCTGAAAAGAATGAGGTGCTTGTGCAGAGATGTTTGGAGCTCTGGTGAGGAAACAAAGCAGGTGAGTCACTCAGAATCAAGCACTTGTTTGTTGCTGCTGGTGGAAAGGGGAACCAGACTGCAATGGTATAAATACAATGGAGCTGGTGTTAAAAGATGTGCTTTTCTGGATATGAGAGAAACTGTTATGTAACAATAGTTTTAGGAAGGATTCAGTATATCATGTGTAACCATTTTACATTTTTTTTCTTTGGCTCCTGTAAAAGCAATAAACACCTAAATATTTTAACTGTAACTGTGTAATCCCTTTCCACAGCTGACAGCATAATTCTTAGAAAGTACACAGTAACTTTTTCTACTAGAGTCCGAGTCTGACTGTTTGTGACATTTATATAGTTTAATATGGACAGTGTGGCTTTCCGAGCAGGAGAGAAAGAGCTACGATGAATGTTTGCTTTTTCTCAAGTGAAAGGTAGCATGTCTGGCTAAACAAAAACAGTCTGTGGTATTGTGCAACTTCGGTATGCTTGCCATTATTCAGGCTTATTGAAACACACTTGGTCTGGCATAAAGAACTGAGGCTAATCATCTAAATCTAAAACAACTAAACCAAGAGTTGTTAACCAGAGATCCCTGAAAGTACTCCATGGGGTCCATAAAGTATGTTGGTTAAAGGAATAATTAAAATATTTGCTGAAAATTTCCTCACCCTCAGGCCATGAACAGATTTAGAGAAATTTAGCACGACATCACTTGCTCACTAACGGATCCTCTGCAGTGAATGGGTGCCGACAGATGAGAGCTCAAAACATCACGATAATCCACAAGTAATCCACACTACTCCAGTCCATCAATTAACATTATGTGAAGCAAAAAGCTGCATGTTTGTAATGCACAAATCCATCATTAGGGCATTTTAATAGTAAAACATCAGTCCATAATCTATTATAGCTTCTTCAGTAAAAAAAAAGTCCATCCCCTCGTGTCATCTCACATCAATACCCACCGAAATATTTGTTTAACACCGGTTTGAACTGTGTTCACTTGTACATGGTGCTTGATCTGTGCATATTTCTCTCCTGATTCAGACGTGATGGCTTTTTTTTTTATTTTTTTTACTGGAGATGGTAATTAATGCCATAATTTAGCCAGGTTTGAAGTAAAAAAATGGCTTAATGATGGATATGTTTACAAATACACAGATTTTAACTTCACTAGATGCTAATTGATGGACTGGAGTTGTGTGTGATTATTGTGTGATTATGTTTTTTTATCAGATGTTGAACTCTCATTCTGACGGCACCCATTCACTGCAGAGGATCTATTGGTGAGCAAGTGATGTAATGCTAAACTTCTCCAAATCTGTTTTGATGAAGAAGTAAACTCATCTACATCTTTGATGGCTGGAGGATGAGAAAATGTTCAATTTTGGGTTAACTGTTGCTTTAATGTTTTTAATTAAAATTTAAAATGAGTTTCTGAGGAAATCTAGCCTTCTTATACTGGGGGTCCATGAGACCCTGGTACTGAGAAGAATGAAAACCTTTCATGAAACTACTGAAAAGCAAAGCCAATGTAAACCAGTGTCAGAAAGGCCAATAAAACTATTAGGAAACAAAAGGATTTGTAAGATCTGGGATTTTGTTGGTAAATAATATGCCTTTCTGTTGTGTGATTGTTCTAGGCATGTAAAGAAGCTTTGGATTTGTGAGTAATCAGAGTGAACACAAGGGGACAGTAAAATACTTCACATGTCCCTCAGTGGTAATAATATGGTTAAAGCAAGAATATGATTCTTAGCTAGTTTAATATAACTTGCTGTTTGTTTCTACCATCACTGCTCACCTCTTCGCTGTCACTGAAGTCTACATCAGAGGGAAAACATCTACTCCACCCTACAACAGAATGGTTTGAGAGACACTAGCAACCACAGAGATGGGCTCAGGAGGAGTGATACATTGTGTAAGGTCTATGGCGGAGTTATTACTGTGTCTCCAGACAGTTTGGGTTGCCAAGATGCCTCATTGTCTGTTGAGTCATATAGAGAGGAGCCACATGAATCAGTGTCTTCAAGCATGGAAATGCAGTCATCACACAAAAGGGGAGAGGGGTGCAACAACATCTAGGTCGGAGTGCAGTCAGGATGAAAATGAATATGAAAGTGCAGACATTACTATGATTGAAGACGAGGCTGTTACCAAGTATTCAAGAGTGGGGGTCATTGAAAAGCAATATCAACCAATCACTACTCTGACTACTGGAGGATGCATCCCCCCTTTAAGCGAGAGACAGACTATGACAAAACAACAAAGTCAGAAATATTAACAGAAATTAACTAAATAATCTGTCAGAAAATAACTATTTATTAAAAGGCAATATTAACCTCTGGGGATTTTTTTTTTTTTTTACATAACTACACAAAGCAAACAGTGTAGCATCCATTTGTCAAATGGTTCAAGGAATTAATTAAGTAATTTAAAGTGATTAAAGTAATTTAAATCAATTATTTTAAAAGTATATTTAAATAAAAAATGTTTATATGTTAAAAATACTATTGTATAATTAAAATAATCACACTGCTACCTAAAAAATCTAATCAACATGAAACTTAAAATATCTATATTTATGCACAAGATTTATGTTAATATAATTACTTAGCTACTAAGAAAACAACTAAATATAATTTCCTTGAATAGAATAATATGAAACTATACTGTTGTATATCTAAATAATCAAACTACTATCAAAAAATATAGGTGTAAGCACAATATATTACTTAAATTAAGAAAAAAATTACTTATAAATCCCTCAAATAAAAATATTATGAAATATATCAAATTTGAGTTAATTAATAAACAGGTACTCGCTGCAGGGCATATCAATATTTTAAATATAGGCTATGGAGTCAATGGCACACAAATAAAACTATTTAGTTTGAGTTGCTAACTGTTAGGACTATAAAGATGGTAAATTAAAATTAAAGAAAGTTCTAGCGCCTAAATGTATATCTGACATGCACATACACAGTGATTATACTATCATTATGTAGTCCACAATTAGCAGGGTTTATCAGGGTAAATGAGCTAAACAACAACTCCGCTCAATTGGGAGGGACGTTCAGCAGCAGCTGGGAGCTATTTGACCACGTGACTGGAGAGATGTTTCTGTCGCTGTAAGCAGCCATCATTTCACCCAATACAAGCCTATGCTAGAAAGACAGAGAGGAGATATAGGCATGGATTTGCACGGGAATACCGACTGAAAGGCACATACTCGATCCACTCCTTCGCCTATGGTTTATGGTTTCCGGTAAGTATCATTTGCAGGTTCGGTCTGAAATAATTACGGTTAAACATATCTGCCTGTCTTTTGTCTTTGCTGTGTTCGAATGCACACACTCGCGTTTTCCCAAGCTTTTCGAATGCAAACATCCAGTCGATGTTCTCATCCAACAAGCCGAAGTTAAACGGGAAATGCGATACAAACGCGCTAGATTGTGGCACGTTTCCTATTGCGTCTGTGTAAATATTAAATGAATATGCACTAAACAACAACTACTTCCTGCGATTGTAATGAGTCTAAAATGGATTTTTAAACCAGCAAATGTGTCTCGTGGACTTACATTTAATTGTTTCCACCCCTTGTTAAGTTTGGCAGCATCAGGAGATTTGTGTTTCTGATTATTTTGTTCGTTGGTTACATTTAACCTCTCTGCGAAAGGCCAGGTAGTCGTATTACTAGTGACTAGCGAAGTTCAATGCACTAATTAGTTTGGTGTATTTACATGAGAATTGTGCTTGTAGCCGTTTCCAGTTGTACTCCACGACAGTGAAGGTGTTCGGCCCAGACAGTGCTGGAGAGGCTTTACTTTCGGTTTAAGGTTTTAAAGACCTAGAGCATTTGGTCTGGGGGCACTTGTGTTAAGCTGTCTGCACTTATGTGCTAAATGAAGATAAACGTAATCGTCTATTTTTGATTTGTATACAATCTGTGTTGATCAAAGGGGTCTATGTCTTAAAGGGGTCATATGATGCGATTTCAAGGTTTCCTTTCTCTTTGGAGTGTTACAAGCTGATTGTGCATATAGATAAGATCCCTGAAGTTGCAAAGACTAAAGTCTCAAAACCAAAGAGATATTCTTTATCAAAGTTAAGACTCTGCCACGCCCCCCCAAAACGGCTCGTTCTAACACGCCCCCACATATCTACCTCACTATGTGGAAATATTAGCATAATGCTGCCATAGTTAGTGTTGAAGCAGCCATGTCAGAGAGACGCTGTGTTTCTAGGCGAAAGCAAAAGCACTTTATTTGGCCTTCCGAAAGTAGATGCATTTAGGAATCTTTAAGATTACTTACAACAGAACAGCAATGCATTTTATGGACGACCGTTTCGTGAACCTAAGAGAGGAGGTAATTCTGACTTTGCTATGACAATCTGGCGCTTCGTGTGTGTGAGAGAGAGAGAGAGAGAGAGAGAGAGGGAGGAGGGGTCACATCACAGTGGAGTCAGCTGTCTTAACCGTGGCTTGTGTACTGCAAACACATACCAGCTTCATCACTGTGTCTGTCACGAGACTCTGTTCCCCTTTCGGGCTTGAACTGATGGTAAAACTAATGACATTATTTACTGTCTTTACATGTATTTTGAAAGATGAAGCTCGCGATTATGGTAAGGGGCGTTACATTTCCGACGAGTGCTTGCGGTGTTCGGCCAATCACAATGCACTGGGTCAGCTGGCCAATCAGAGCAGACTGCGCTTGTCGGAAGGAAGGACTTTGTAGAAAACGAAGCGTTTGAGAGAGGCGGGGCATACAGGACCTACAATAATGTACAGTATTTGAAAAATAATGTGTTTTTTGAACATTAAAGCATGTCAACATATTCTGTTACACCAAATACACAAAATAATGATCTTTAAAAAAAGCATCATATGACCCCTTTAATGCTTTGCCTTCTTCTGAACTATTCATTGGCGGAGAAGAAAAATAACTAACTGGTACATTTTTGTCTAATTCTAAATGACTCAACTTTAACTTTTTAATGACAGCTTTTTTTTAATAGTTCAACAATAAAATATCTCACGTTGTATATTTAAAGATACAGTAGTCTTCGTGTCAGCCAGTGTCTTAGTTACCACAGTTTTATTGTTGCAGCTCAAACTTTAGCAAGTATTTAGGCGGAAACTGTGGTTCATTGTAACATGGGTTTGTAAGGGGTTTCTCGTCAATGGGTTTTGAGACGACCAGCAGAGACATCAGCTCTGTGTTTGATCTGTTTCATGTCAGATGAGATTGCTGTGGTTGATGTATTCAAGGCAGATTAATTTTGCCTTTGTGTTTGCAGGAACACTAGGACTGATTTTCTCGTCTCAGGAGGGAGTTAACTGTGTCTGTATTAAATGCTCCTGACTGCACACAGATGTTTATAGGCCTGTGTAACAAGTATCTCCTCTGACTCTGCTGTAGAGGACATCCTACTGAACTGACCTGGATTACAGCAGTGCGAATGTTGTGATATATTAATCTGTGATTTGCTCCCTTCCCGTTCACTAAGACTGCTTGTCTGGGTTGGGTTAACATTAACATGGAATGGCCTGGCTTTTGAAGAGTTAAGAAATTAAATCATAAACTAAAAGTTCTTATCAGGAATATTTTGAGTGTGTATATAACATTCTTGTGTTGTATGGTAATTTTGAAGAATAAAGTTATTGATGCATTAAAGGTTCTTCAGGTTAGTGTATTGTTTCAAGCACATGTTTTTTCAGGAAGAACCCAGTCTTTCTAAAAGTAACTTAATGTTATGGTATTTGACAAACTTTTTCGTTTCTTTTTTCTTTTTTTTTTTTTAAATATTATACCTGGAAGTCAATTGCCAAGGTGCTTTTCTGTCCCACTCTATTTTCTATAAAATATACACTACTATTCAAAAGTTCAAGGATCAGTAAGATTTAATGTTTTTGTCTCTTATCCTAGCAAGTCTCTTATGCTCAAAGTTGCATTTGTGATCAAAAGCTTAGTCATTTTGCCCTGTGCTTGAAGTATACTGCAGTATCAGTCACAAAGTAACAGAACATTATCACTTTCAGACAATGCTGTCAGTGGACTTAAGACTAGAGGTCGACCGATTGATCGGGCGATTTTTTTTTTTTTTTTTTTTTTTTTTTTTTTAAAAAAAAAAAAAAAAAAAAAACTCTAGCTTTCTATTCTACTTGTTTTTCTTTGTTTGTGTATATATATAGGCGCATCTGTGGGCAGCTAAGCGTTGTTGCGGAACACCGGAGAATCTCTGGCTGCGTGGGCAACTCACACTCTGCAGCCGCTTCTTGTTCACACACAGCCTCAGCTAATGATGGCAGGGCAAAACAGACTGTTTCGAAAGCGTAATTACGTTTTACCCTACTAGAATTGATGCCGGAAAGTTATCATATTCATAAGTGCAACAAGTAATTTGCATGTGAAAGTAGAAACGCATGCAGTTCAGACAAAACTTCTGGGCTGCTTGTAACGTGCATGTTAACTTTCCTAGTGAAATGTGTGTAGGTCCTACAATAGCATCCACGATGTCATTGCTCGTGGCCAGTGCACTCTTAAGCAGTTATGAGCAGCAGACTGTGTAATATGTGTGAACTTTTATTTTTGTTATCACTTGGCCATTTGACTTATAGCAGTGTCCAGTGTTTCCCATACATTGAGTTATTACTTCGTTGAATAAACTGATCACTGCACGTTTCAAAATTAAAATGCAGCGCTGGTGTCTCTATTATGAATGTATCTTTGAAAAGAACCGACCTTCAGAAAAGCTTCGGTGTCATTTTCGTTTCGTCTTTCCTGTAATACCTGATAAAGTACCGTTTGTGAGTGCAGTGCTTATTCGTTTACAGCCGTTACCGGGGAAACCGCTATATATCTCCCGCTCCAACAGCGCCTCCTGCTGGCGGAGAATGAATTTGCATTTGCAAGTCTGTGGGAAACACTGGTGTCTGTCAGCAAACATAAACAAAAAGCATGCTTCAGAGCTGTTTTAAGAAGGTGCTTAAGTTTTGAGCCATGTATTATTACTCTGAATTAGGCTACTATTATTACTATCTTGTACCCTGCAATAATCATTTACTCAAACTCACTTTTATGAGATGAAGGGAAAAAAGAAAATCGGCCAAACATATCGACCAAAAAAAAATCAGCATCATATATCGGCCATCAGCTGCCCTGATTTCTAAATATCGGCATCGGCCAGTGAAAAACCCATATCGGTCGACCTCTACGTAAGACGCCTATGCAGGGTCTTGGTTTGACCTGATACCCTCAGAGGTGAATCGATTGCTGTGTTTGCTGAGATTAAGCCTAAAGTTACTCAAGTCTGTCTGTCACTGCAGCTCCCCTGATGTTTGTTGCATAAACTTCACTAATGTCTGTCTTTTAGTAGCCCAGGTTTCCTACTATAACATTTCTCTGGACTCTTTTCTGTTTGTTGAGGATCACAGGTTTGGTTCAGCTGAATGAATTGTCTTAGGGTGAACTTGAATTCCTTCAGTTTGTGCTGTTTTGAGTTGGCATATATTTATTATCTCATGCTTCTGAATAAATATCAGAATGACTGTTTTGATCAGAAAAGTTTTAGGCAAAATTTTCCACTTCATTCAAGGGTGATTGAAGCTGTATGAATAACTTTTGCTATTTTGTTGTTGCAACCTAAAGCTCCCAGTCCTGTCTGAAAAATGGAGATCAGTGGGGTTCTTTGTGAACCGTATGATCTGTTGTTCTATTGGCTTTGTTACACTGAGCATTTAATTTGCTTGCTTAACTTCACTAATTTGGTAAAATAACTCATTAGGCTAACAATACAGCAGGTCTTGATATGCAGCCGTTACTGTAAACTAAGTATGCTGAGCTGCACTAAATCTATTTTTAGTTCTGCTTAGTTATAGGTATAGTTTCATATCTGATAACTGGTGCAGTTGAGGGTGAGAGTGATGATGATGAGTATGTCTGAGGAAGTGATATTTGGCAGATGATGTTGTGATTTAGGTTTTTAGTTTTCGAATGTTCTTAATTTCTTCTCACTTTCTGGCTCGGTTTCATACAGTATACAGTATTTCCCCATATACTTGCATAAAGTCAAGTTGCTTTTTACATCAACCTGTCCTTCATTACCTTTTACCTGTAATGTGATTTTATCCAGTTCGATGGACACACTTCAGTTTGTATCCAAGCTTTGTGACTGACGTTCCTCTGTGGAACACATATGTTTAATATTTTGCTTCAGCTGTTTCTGTCCATCCAATGAAAGTCAGCAGGGACCAAAACAATACTGGACCCCTTTGACTT